CAGTACAAGCCTGGAAAGTATTCAGTCACTAGTTGATACAGAATTAAAAGTTTCGCACGAAGTTATCAACCAATCGCAGTACAAGCCTGGAAAGTATTCAGTCACTAGTTGATACAGAATTAAAAGTTTCGCACGAAGTTATCAACCAATCGCAGTACAAGCCTGGAAAGTATTCAGTCACTAGTTGATACAGAATTAAAAGTTTCGCACGAAGTTATCAACGAATCCCAGTACAAGCATGGAAAGTATTCAGTCACTAGTGTATACAGAATTAAAAGTTTCGCACGAAGTTATCAACGAATCCCAGTACAAGCCTGGAAAGTATTCAGTCACTAGTGGATACAGAATTAAATGTTTCGCACGAAGTTATCAACCAATCCCAGTACAAGCCTGGAAAGTATTCAGTCACTAGTGTATACAGAATTAAAAGTTTCGCTCTAAAGCTACAATCTTGTAATTATAACTATAATGACCACTAAAACGTATACGAAGAATACACGCTCGTGCATTTGCTCAACATGACATTTTTGAATGGCTTTTACAAATATCAAATAAACCTTAGTACAACATTTGTTGATTATAATAATAATAATTGTGTTAATGTTGATATTTTTTTTTACGTTTCAAACTATATGTTAATAAATAATCAACGGACGAAAAAAAAACAAAGAAATATCCGACTAATGGGTGAAATAGATAACACGTACTACAAAAACTCGTACATGATCTTATTCTGTATACGCAATAATAACTAGTGGGAGCACTCGGTAGAGGGCGTACTTCTGCCACGCAGCGTCGATTTAATTTGACCCTGAAAAACTCAGAAAAAACACCACCACCAAAATGTGTACGCATGTCCGTTATTATCAGTGGACGAGGATATTTTTGGCATGATAATCAGGAATAATATTCTACATATGTTTACAAAGTTTCATCAAAATCCGATCATTTTTGACCGAGTTATAGAGCAAAAAATAGTGAGATAATTCGGTCCCCATGTTAACAGATGGGGATTTTCGTGACCTTGACCCTCAAAAACTAATCACATCTAAGTTAGGTCATAATCCAAATGTATACCAACTTTCTTCCAAGAGAAATTTCGAGAAATCTTGTTGACAAACATACATACACTGTAAAATGCACGAGTACAAAATGGTTACGAGGTCGGTCAAATTGACCTACCTCGTAGCGAGAGTCTGTAATATTCAATACATGTTTTAACTCAACTTTATTTTCCTTTTACGCAATTCCTAGGCTCTTAGTTACACTACATAGATGCCTACCCTGACTATGATATTGTGATAAACAAATTACATACTAACAGTCAGGAATACATAACTTCCAACTACAGTAATATTAAAGTTAAGTATATATTTTACAGTGTAACATTAAATTTTAATATTGAAAGTCATGTAGGGATGATCTATGTATATCTGTATCATCCATGTATTCTTGTTTACATTTTTTTTCGCATTGTCATCCCTACATCATTTTACATTTACAAAATGTTTATTAGTTGTGTTGTGACGTTTTTCCCTTTAATTTTTTTTACTCCTTCACTTCATACATAATATAGTGTATAGTGTACAAAGCATTGAGTATTCTACATGCTACAGTCATCTGAACTTAAGCTTTTTAAAGTAACACAAGATTTCTGTCAGAAAGCTAACTCCAAGGGGTAATAATAACATCGATTTCACTATAATTATGATTTGTTGTAAGTTACTACTACTTATTACTACTAAGTGATAACATCTTCCACTACCCAGAAACACATATAGTGGATTTAGGTTTAAACTGGCGTTAATGATAAAGTAGTTGTAGAGTTATCTTGACTAAAACAAGAAGAAAAATGAACAATTTGGTGGGTTGGTCACCTTCTGGTTTGGTATCTTACCTTGTTTGTTGGGTAGAGAAACAAATGAAAGTGAGTGGCAATCATCTTTTAAAGTAAAACTATCTGTCATTGTTGATTTATAGCGTGCATACTTATATTATGCCTACTGAGTACGTTGGCCATCCCTACATATAGAGTCTACCGACAGTCACATACTTGCTAATATCTTACCTATGGTACTTCTGATAACTCTAGCGCTTCGTCAAAACACAAATTTAATACTAAAAAAACTAAGTTAACTAACTGGCTGAAAGTAATATAAAATCTGACTAACAAACACGATAATTTAATACTAATAAAACTAAGTTAACTAACTGGCTGAAAGTAATATAAAATCTGACTAACAAACACGATAATTTAATACTAATAAAACTAAGTTAACTAACTGGCTGAAAGTAATATAAAATCTGACTAACAAACACGATAATTTAATAATCAACCATCATTTACTCTAGTTTAACTTTCACATAATGCTCAAATCGCTTCCAAACATTCCGAGAAGGTTCTAGTTATTATGCTGTTCACATCGTGTGACGTCAATCTCCCCTCTTGCCAAACAACACTACAAATTTTTAAGTTGAAAAAACATCCTGCAGCAATATATTTTCCATCTCTCTATATTTATTGATTAACAGAAGCTTTCAACTAGAAATCACTCGATAACAACACCAATTTCAAGATAAGCATAAATAACTTGAAACTCTGTGCATTAATTACCTGTCCCAGTATTAGTTCCAACACAAGTGTGCAGCACTGTTTTCAAAAGTTTTAATAGCATGTAAACATGAACCAACAGAATCTATTGTGAAACAACTTATATGAATTAGAACGAATCAGTCATTCTAACGTAACGTTCAAAACGTGTATGTTTATGTAAGTTATATCATTATTTGGGATTGCTGAGTGCCTCACACACACACACATTTTCGTATTAAAATTTACGTCATCACTACGACAGCTTGATATGTTTGTATAGATAATGTACGTCATCACTACGACAGCTTGATAAGTTTGTATAAATAATGTACGTCATCACTACGACAGCTTGATATGTTTGTATAAATACTGTACGTCATCACTACGACAGCTTGATAAGTTTGTATAAATAATGTACGTCATCACTACGACAGCTTGATAAGTTTGTATAAATACTGTACGTAATCACTACAACAGCTTGATAAGTTTGTATAAATAATGTACCAGTCAAATGTCTTATAACTTTATGGAAACTGGTAAAAAATAGAATAAAAAAGGCAGATAAGTAAAACACATTAAATAACGTTTCTCAAGAAAGACACACATGTGTTTATTTGTTTGTAAGATTATGAAACACTGGTTGTCAGCCTTTTCTTATTTGTACTTAATTTGTCACTGGATGTCTACATTTCTAGTATAAAGGCGGGAAAATTATAATTAATTCAACACTGCCTCCGTTGCTTTACGAATTCATATTTGAACTTCGTGGCTTTCCTTCAGTTATATAAAAATTCAAAATAACATTTCATAAAATTTATCCTCTCAGATTTGTCAACAGTAATCTGGTAGCCCACCCCTTTTTTTTGTTAGAGATTAAACACTGTATTTAGATTAAAATCGGACATAAACGATAAGTAAAAACGTGGATTTTCAGGTTAACTACACGAATGTATATTGGTGATTGTTCTTATAAATTTAATTCTAGTTTTAAATAAACAGTACAGGCGCATGATAAAACAAAACATGTATTGATTGGTAAGTTAACATTCACAATAATAGTATATTTTTATTATCTTAGCAATAATAATATATCCCCATTAAAATTCCGATACAACAAACAGATGCTTTTAGAATATCTCAACTTATTATTACTTATACCGTCTATCAGAGTAACTGTTACAAACATATATTTTGTTTATATTGATAACATTAATTTTGATAACTTCGCTATAATAATAAATATAACATTTTTTTAACATTTAGATATATACTTATTCGAAAGTTTCTGATAATAAAAACAATACAAGCCTGAAGTTTGTTTTGCTTGTCAGCTGGCAATGCTTTTTACTTTATCAACCTTGTCATCGTTGTATTTCTGACTACGCCTACTAAAAACAACTTTTCAAGTTTATCTAGCAATACGTAGGTTTTTAAAAGGTGTTGCACGCATGCGTGAAGCCATGTATCGCTGTTCCATTTGAAAGTAAACGTAACCGATGGTAAGGTGTGTTTTTCAACATAAATGTTACACAAGTTTCAATTTACATTCAATAGTTAACTATATTATTGCCCATTTCTTGATACCGGTCATGCACACACACAGAAACAAATACACTCAACATATATAAAGATAACGAAGAAAAGAAAACATCAACAAAAAACGATGATGTACTTTTTTTTTCTTGCTTACAGAACGTCATGAGAACAAAAAACATTCATTACTCACTATTATAAACAGTCGAAAAAATGTTACTAAGTTCTCGTTATTAGCCTGACCAAAGTATGAGACAAAAATACTACTCTACCAATTTAAACAAGTCTAGCCTACTTATTTAGCAAAACTCTGGTAAACAACTTCGGCAGGTGTCATTTCTGTGAGCACACAAACACACACACGCACACACAAAAACTAAAATTAGAAGACAGACATTAAAAAATAAAAAACTGATGTATTAGATCACGTGTTTAAAAGTTTTTAACTTGACCATGAGTAAAGCTCAATAATGACCATTCGTAACATAAAGATGACTTTTGTAAAAACCACTTCTCATAATATTATGTCAGATTTAATTACATAGTTAGCTCGTAGCATTCATTTTCAGCTTTCAGTACTGGCCACTAGAACGTTACGGGAGGGAAGCACTTGGTCTATATACATATTCAATAACACCGTATTTAAAGCTGATCTATAAACTTAATATCATTAAAAAAACTTCAATGAGGAAGCAGGAAAATTGAAGCTCGGCCAAGATAATTCTATGCAACCGCTAAAAATCCAATAAAATCAATACAATTAATTCTGATTAGAATATAGTCGGGTAGTGACATGAACTTAGGATTAGGGTTAGTTACATAGGCCTACTAACCTGGTCATCTTCGCATTTTCTGTCTTGTTAACGTCAAACAGCAATATGCGACGTTACGTATAGTAAACAGATAACACACAAGTTCTTGGAATTTCTATGTTGAGGCGAACTGTAATTACCTAAAAACTTTGAAACTTCATCTTCACTGCATTGTTTTTTTTTCTTCTTGATGGAACACGCAGACAGATTCGCAACATATCAGTTTTAGAAATAAATTAAACTCGGATGTGATAAAAAAGCAGATAAAGACGCCTGTAGAACTAGTAAGGCTTATTTGTAGAGGCGAGTGGGATTGAAACAGTTACTATCAGATTTTGTACGAAGTTATCCCTAAATTTTAACTAAAACCTTAGTTATATACACTAGAGAATTGTATGATTTCCCGCGATAGGAATGTGTCACAATTTAACTTACTATATAACTTCTAAGGTTTATTTTGTTGAATTTTACGCAAAGTTACACTAAGGTTATCTGCGATAACCATCCCTGGTTTTGAAGTGAGATACAAGAATGAAGACAGATATTCCACACATTCCACAGTTAACTCTTGGGCTACGCTTGTCACACTGAATAGTGTGATCTAACTTTTACTCTTATAACGTACTCATGGGCCTTAGCTCTACACTTCAGTATGCTAACCACTGGGCAGTGCTTGGCCCAACTTACAAGGTTAGTAAACATAACCTCGAAGTTGTTTTATACTGTGTGATTTTAACCCCTTCCAGGAGTTAACTCAGGCGAACTATTTCTTGTCTCATTTTCAATTATTTACCTAAATTTATTTGCATGTTACCACGTGTTACAAAAGGCTATCAAAAAGCGAAATAAAAAATCCTGCCCTTTTAAGCTAATTTCCAAAAAAGCATTGACACAAAAGGAGTAAGCACATTACCATGTATGGTGATTCAACTACTTGCGTCAAACACTTAATTTACATATTTTGCAACAGTACTCACACCAATTTACAATACAGTAAATGGCTTCTAATACACTATAAAATATTACCTTACTGATAAAAAAGATTCTATATCCTTACAGCAACAGAAGGTTAAAGGTTAAATTTGTTCAAAATTCTTAAACTCCACATTTGAATTTAATTAATAACATTTCGTACCTGCCCCAGTTTCTACCACTAGCAGAGATAAAAATAGTTAAAACTAGTAACATGAGTTTCAACCACACCTACAAGGCTTAGCAAACAGCATTTACATTAAGAATTTAAAAACTGGTCTTAGATATGCAGAAAAATAAGACTCGCATGTTTTGACATGAAAACCGTTTGATTACTGAAAACATTATCTTTCCCTGACTGTTACTTAGCACAGAGCAGTGGGCTTACAAATAACAGTTATGGAGAAATGTAAACACAAGACATATCATGGTGACAAAGGGTCATTTCTCCATCAACCTAAACAATTAAAAAATCAAAAGAAACAACACAGAAAAATCCATGCTCGTATAACTCTCCTACAAAAGTTTAATACAAAATTAGAACATACAGTGCACATCATAACAATAAGAAAAGAAAAACTGTAGATGAAGGATAGACTTGAGCTTCTGAAGCTTATATCCAATTACCAGGAATCTCCTAAACATCAAGAAACTTTTGAAAAGTAACAGTTGAAAGTTTTCACCATCTATTTACAGACTTCAAGATGCAACTCAGAGATTTATTCTAAACAAGTTTCTATGCTTCTCTAAAACTGTTTCTTATTTAACAAATTACAATTTGACAAGTGTTCATCCCCACTTTCACAGAAGTTGAACAGCTTAAAAATCTCTTTCTTCAACAGTTAAAACAAAAGTAAAGAATTTGTTGAATATTGTATTAATGTTCCTTTCCTGTATAATAAGGTTCCTAAGGAATCTGACTTTTTAAACTTTACAAAAGTACTAAACTCTTCAAATCAAATGTTTTAAGTTAGGAGAAAAAAAAACACTTATGTTTATCGGCTTTTTTTTATATAATCTTGCACTTCTCCACATTTTACATTCATTAATATTTTAACCTTTCTATTCACCCATTTAGAAAAGGCCATTTATTCAAGTACTTTACACTTTAAAACACCCAAATAAAAGTTAATTCTGAAACTTATGTGGTCCAGAAAGACACATTTTTAAACCTCTTTTCAGAGTTCACAATTTAATATCTGGAATCATTCTTACGTACAGATCATAAGAAAAAGCCAGTAATAGTACAAGAATTGGATTTGAAAAACATGAAACTAATAATAGTACAAGTTGATACCTAAAATAGAATTGGATTTGAAAAACATGAAACTAATAATAGTACAAGTTGATACCTAAAATAGAATTGGATTTGAAAAACATGAAACTTACGTAATCTTTATTTTTTGCCGATTGGAAAATTTTTGACTAAAACTTGATAAGTTAATTTTCTTTTTTTAATTATTTGTTGTAGCTGCAAAACATTTTTTGATGTGTGACTTTAATACATTAAATAAACTAAATATAAATCACTGTTTTCAACATGTACAGAAGAAAGTCTCTAGGCATTTTACACATGCATAGAAAAGAAACTGTTACTTTACTAAATACACAATAAGTAATTTAATTTCATTACCTATGTAAAAAAGGTGACCAAATATGCATTAACATCTCAATTACAAACTATATTAATTACTGATAATACAAACTTCTAAGACCAGTTATATGTTGACATTTTTATTCTGTAGAATTAAAGTTTCAAAGAATATTTTTCTCTGGCTTTGTGTTTAAAGTAGTAGACATGCAGAACACACAAATTAGTGAAACAATGATAAATGTGCTTCTCACCACACACAACTGTTATTTATAAAAAGATCTAAAATGTAATTATTCTTCAACATATTTTTAGTCACACAAAGGCTAAACATCGTGTTCACAAAACCTGCTTACAATAAAAAATGAAGATGGAAATACTTCGGCCAATTCTTGCTCATAACTATTGCACTGATCCTTTATAATTTCACATTCTAGAATCCAGGGGGTAAATAAATGCATTTTTGTGTTAGATTAAAACACAAACTAATTATTAACTATACTATTATATGTAATCACACTAAATTATGTCTTTAGAACATGTAATGAAACATTATGATACAACATTAATATTTAGTTTGCTGTCTGTTAATGATAAGAAAGTACGTGTCCTTTGTTCAAGAATGGCACATATAACTCCCCAGTGAACGTTTTTGTTTTGTTATTAAAGTACAAACATTTGGTGTGGTTTCAGGAAAAAAAAGCCTTCAGCCAATAACAAAAATAAAAACAATTACTAAAAAACAAACATGATCTGAAATAATTTGTAGCTATTATTACTATTATTAACAAACTACTATGCATGTCTATACTATTGAATTAATGAACTCTTAATGTACTTGTGATTATGGTAAAGTTGAAAGCAGTGACCACATTTACAAAACTGTCATATTTGTTGAAAACAGATCAGTAATTGTAGGTCAATAGCTATAACTTATACTATCGCAATAAACAATATTTAAATAACCTAAAGCATTTATTGCAACATATTAAACCTCGTGAAATTCTAATATCTTTCTAAAAAATGGAATCAAAATTCAAATTACGTTAGTCCAGAAAGAGTGATGAGGCGGCTATTTAGCCGAAAATATGTTTTACAATAACTTTGAATAGTGAATATAGTAATATCTTTATGTTTCTGTCTATACTGACTTTCCTGATTAAACTTAAACTGTTAAAGCACACAAGTTATAATACACGTTACAAATACAAGTTACACCAATTTCATGTTTACAAAAATTATTATTATTATAATACAAGTCCTAACTTCAAGCATAATTTATTAGATCTAATGTTACTATAAAAAATGCATACTAAAATTTCTAAACCTACCTGTTCTAAATTACAAATAAGTTAACAGTTAAGTTCAACTTTTTTAAAGCTCAGTGACTGTCAGTGTCACACTGGCATTGACAATGTGGTCAAGGGCAATGTCTTCGAAGTTCGAGTTCAACTTCAAGGTGAAGTTTCACTGCTCCGATTCGGCATATACTTAAACAGTTAGACCTGGCTACCTTTAAACTAATATAATGAATTAAAACATTTACAGTTCACACGCATAACCTATACAGGATGGTAAATATAAAGTTACTAGTCACTCATGTCACTTTCTTTCAAACCTAAACTTAACTAGCAAATTTATTATAGTTTTACAAATGAAGTGAATTGCGCCACCTACACCGAAAGAAGAAAATACTCTAATATAAAGTGTAAGGTAAACATTCTAAAAATTTTAAATAGTATTATGACGTCATGTGACTTTAAAATTTTCAATTCTTCAGAAAAACTCTGTATCTAAAAACTAACTTTACAAGTAATGACACCGGGAAAAAAAATCTTTATCACAATGATCAAACAATGGTACACTTTAAAGAAAGTTTACTAAGGCCTTAGAGCATCGCTGTAAATTCAAATATGTGTGTTAACAATTTTTTCCAGTTGTTTGTCAGTGTCAGTAAGTATTGTTATTATTAAAATTAGTGTACTTTTTATTGCTAATAATTTAATTTTTCTAAATTCAAATGATGCATTAAAGATAAAATATCTATAAATCGTTTAATATTCAGCAAAAGTATATTTTTCAATTGCAAAGCTTGAAGTATATTTATTATAACGCTACATTTATGACTACAAAACTGTGAATATACGGAAGGGAAAAATTAGTTTATTTAAAATATACATAAAAATTAAACTGTAAATTATTTGATGCATATTCCACAATTTAAAATCACAAAGTGCATTTTTATATTTTATTTTTTAGGGGAATTTAAAACAGGATATTTACTACATTTCTAATTTATCTTAATCTCAACCAATTATATATGTTTACGCTCGAATAAACGATCTCCCCCCTTTTATTCTTTGCTTGAACCTTTAAGGCTAAATAATACTTGGACGATGAAAGTTAAATAATAATCTAAATAGTCCTCAGTAGTTCAGCGGTATGTCTGTAGATTTACAACGCTAAAAACCCGGGTTTCTATACCCGTGGTGAGCACAGCATAAAAAATCATTGTGTAGCTTTGTGCTTAATTACAAATAAGTATATGAACTAAATAACATCTGAATATTACAAACAGCTCGCAATATTCTTGATAGAATGATTCTATCTTCCCCTTGGAATCACCTTTATGATGTACTATAATATTTCCTTTCTGACGTTTACAATTTTATTATCTATAATATATCTTGGGTTTAGTTCATTAAAAAAAACGAATTCATGAAATATCGCGAATTTTTCAGTCAAACCATACTACAGGGCCATCTGTTGGCCAACATCTGACACATATTTAAAAAAAATAACAAACTGTTTCTTATAAAATTGAGCAAGATATTATCTTTGAAAACTTATCATAATAATAATAAAAAAAAAAGAACAGAAATAGAATAACAACATTACATGCTACTGCATAATACGTCTCTTCACTAAGTTGTGAACTCCTTTGAAAGCTTTCATAATTGTTATCCTTTACAGTTCTTTAACTATTCAACAGCCAAATTTTCCATCTGGTTTTTTTTCTCTCTCTTTCTCCATAATAATAAGGTATTGTTGCGTCAGCGAGGTCACGTGACTAGTGTCGCGCCACTTCTCTCGAACCTTCGTGAA